AAAATACCAAAAATGCTGGTATTTCCAAAATTATATTGCCCGGTACTGCAATAAAACAATCAGTTCGCTTATATTATAGAGTATAGACACACAAAGACGTGCTGAAATACTGTATTATATAGGTAGTAGGTACTCTCCTCTGGGCTATTGCTATCTTTCTCTCAATTATGTATGTATAAATGTTTATTGTTTAACCTGTTTATAGAAATGCAGCACCTTATTACTTCTACGCGGTGACGTCGTAATTATTAGGGGGTTAGGACGTTAGGGTCCTATATCGAAGCGTCCAAAACTTCAATCGTCGTTCTAAAACTAAAGCTTCATCGTTTATATAGATAGGTTCCTTCTCGAATTATTTCGAATAACGTTTTGCAAATTGCAATAGTTCAATATTAACGAGGCGGGCAAGGTGGTCCCGGTGGGCTGTCAAAATGTATTATCTTCATTATAGATCGAACAAAATAAATGATTTATTGAAATTTATACTACAATGTTTAAAGTTTAGACTAGGTATCAATACGTATATTTTTATAAGTATTAAAATATAACCGTTTAGTAATTTAATTTTTGTTATCCCTTTTAAAATGCACATTGTTGCTTATAAATTATATAAGTTAACTATGTATAATGTCATTTACTATAACAGTTTTTTTATAATTAAATATTAAAATAATAATATGTATTATTGAGCTGAGAATTTTTTTCCAAACCAAACGCAGCTGCTTGTATACCGTAATAATAAGTTATTTTGCAAAATAGATTGTAAAATTTTGAATTTATCTCTGATATTATCTACTTAACAATTTTACATTACCAACCTGCAGGTACTGTAATTATTAAATAAACATTTTGGAATTTTTCAGTACACATTTATAAACAAATAAGTAATAGCAGGTACCTAGCAAAATTAGGTATATGAGGTATTAATATATTTTAAATATTATAAAATCACTAAAATAATATAATATTATTAGCGATTGGCTCTTGGAAAAAAATAGTTCAACCTTCTGTGGTAGTACTAATAGAAAAATAAATTACTAGATAACAACAACTATATAATATTAAGTAAAAATCATCCAAAATCACTTATTGTTTGCAATAATTTTTTCATGACATATCAATGACTTCAATGGCGTATACTAGTCACCTATTACAGCAGATCAACTTCTCCGTTTGTGTTGCTTGTTAGATATTATTATCCATCATTTACTAAGTTAAATTTATTTATTTTCATAGGTAAGCATCGTAATTTCTGATGAAAATAACTACAATATTACCATATTTAATAATGAATACATACTCGACAATTATATAATTTAATCAACGAATTAAAAATATAAGTACACTTTTAAGTTTTGACTGATTAAAAATAATTTCCTATCGTCCTGAATGTCGTATTAATGATATATTATAATACCTTTGTTATTTATAACTTACCTTTAATTAGACATTTTAAAAATATAATGCACAACAGTTTAATTTCTGTGATCAAGTTTTTTTTTTATTAAATCATTTTGAATTAAGTATTATATATTTTAGATTCTGAGTGGATTAAAGAATATATAATAAATAAAACGGTGTGTGTTTTGTTTTTTAAAAATTTTGTTGTGTTCGTATATACGTAATATTATCGTAGATAAAATGCTTCGAACTTACCGCACTTTGAGAGTGATTTTCAGGAAAAAAATAATAATAAGAAAAACTTGAATTTTAACAAAAAAACAGTTTTTGAGAAAATCAATTTTGACGTTTTCGTTGGTGTAAATCAAAAAGAAAATAATACCACGAATAATTATATTTTTCACCAAATGTTTATATTTGCATTTTCTATATATAAAAAAAATGTTCTTAATTAAAAAACCTTGAACATTTTATTCTAGGTGCCTCATAAGTTGTTCATATATAAATTAAAATATATTGAAAATACAGTTACAATATGTTTTTTTAAGCGTTTAAAGCTACCTATAGTGCATTGATGTAGTTCATAAAAACCATGAAAAATTTCAAAATGTCCAAATTTTTAATATGCACACTTAAGATTTTAAAACTTAATACAAGATTGTTCATAAATGGCTCTTTTACTGGATTTAAATAAAAAAAATATCGTAATTCCACAAATATTTTTTATGAACTTCAGAAATTTACATTTTGATGAAATAGGAAAATTTCACCAAATATTTATATTGTTATTTTCAACATATTAGGATAGCATTTTCAAAATGTTTTGATTTTTTTGAGCTGTTTATTGGCATTTCTTTAGTTTTTTTCCATAAATAATGATAACATATTTTTCGGTTGGTCTTGAAAACATATAATACACTGTTCTTTATAAATTACTATTATAGCTATTTAAAAATATTAAAGTTACATATTATTATAAACGATTTTATTTTGCGCATTTGAAGGTAAAATGTTGCCCTAATTCGTTATAATTATAAATATTTCGAAATTATTTTGTAGTTAAACATTTATAAAATTTCCAATTATTGTAATATCTGAGACTTGACCATTTAATACAAAGTTTCTCATAAATAGTTTCATTAAATGAAAATAGAAAATCTAAAAATAAATTTTGCAAATTGAGTTAATTTGTTGTAATTTAAAAATATTATTCGTGGGGACTTGAAACTTTTGAGTACTTAGATTATTATATCTTATATACAAAATGGCATATTCAAAACATTTAGGTAAGTTGTATGCTATTGCCTATTAATAATTAATACCACTAATTTCAACCTTCACCATTCTACTGTAAGTTAGTATTGACTCAAAAGGTAATAACACAATAATATATGATAATATAAATATATGCTATTATAATAATTAAATATTAATAATATAATAAATGTTATGTTTTTGCCAAAAATTAATTCAACTTACTGTATCACTATTACCTACTAATAATGTAATCAATTACTATAATAGCAATTTAAGTACCATAAATATATTTTAGTCCATAGATAAAATAATCTTTAGTAATATAGACTCACAGACAGTCTTCGCTTAGAATCGTTTTTCGTATGTAATGATTTATTATTGAGTTCAAATTTAACACATGCATTACTGCAGTGACTTACTGAGTAACTCTTACTCCTTGAGGACGAGGTACACTCGATATCAACTGTACAACAGAATGATTACCAACGTTCCCCATTTTTGAATTGATTAAAAGTAATACTATAATATTATGTTATAAAGCTAGGTTGAATCTATGAGTAAGAAATGAAACTAAATTATTATCTTGAGCAACTATTTTTTTCCTATTTGTGCAACTATTTACAACTGTGATATTGTTACCACGTGCAAGGCGATGTTGACGAAATCACTGTAGTATGCAGTACTGAAAGTTAGATTTACCACCATCATAGTGGTGTGAATGGTAGACAACGAATGTTTTCACCCTTTTTCGTTAAAAAATATCACGTACGCGTGAAGTCATGTGAGTGTGTGTATGTGTGAGAGGTGAGAGTCGTTATCGAGCGTGGTAAAGATATACCTCCCTCCCCTTCCCCGTTATTTGCTCCGTCACACTCGAGGGCCTGAGTTTATTTGTTTAAAAAAAAATTACTGACTGGGTTTCAGCCAATGGATACGATGATGGTTGATGATGTGGCTGCAACAACAACAAAAAAAAAAAACAACTATTAAAAACCTCTTTTGTCGCTGGAAATGTTGTTTGTACAAGCGAAACGAAACGTTTTCATCAATGACGGCCATTATAATTAGAATGAAGATTTTTCGAACCCAGAACGGAAACCTGCACCTTATTATAATAATAATCAGGAGAACAGTGTGGTATACATGCGGTATACATTGAGTATAGTTGACAAGCTACATGGAGGGCGAATGTTAGTCTTTAAACGATGCAGCAGCGTTCGTTGCGTGTTGCAGTGGCCTTTCGTCTGGCAATGTTGTGTACTCCTTTGGATATTGTGCACACGTCTCATTCGCTTCGTTAGTAATAAGCCGATCTCTTCTTTTTCATTAAACATCTAACTCGTGCTAAACGGAATAAAGGGTTCAGGAGCTATAGTATTTAATCAACTCTTTCAAAAGCACCGTAATAACGAGCCCATTTAATCCTTTCGACGATGACTTTCAGTAATAATCTGAAACGAAAATGTGATATCTCGAATAGGAATTTAATAGTAGAAAATAATCCCGATTCTCTCGAACAATATACCGAGCAAAATCGATTCATTCAATATTGACGTATACAATAATTGCAGTGGCTGCATAGTCACTGGTGTGCAAGATGGTTATTGAAACCTTCATCCTTTGTATTTTATGTCATCAGTAACCATTCGAATAATCACATACGCAGCGTGCTTCGACACATAGTCGTTTCTTTTTATCACCAAACTGTGCTCGAGAATAGTCGTTCAAGACAGTCGAGGGATGAAATCACTTTGGGAATATTTCTTATAGGTCTTTTTTTCGTATTCTCAAAAATAATTTTTTTTTTTTTTTGTAAAGAAGCCCTATAGGCTATAAAATATTGTGATGCAAAACGATATAATATAAATACTTGGATGTATAAAAATGAAACTAAATGATAATATTTAGTACCTAAGTAATGTAATGATAAGTGGAATTGTGATGGTGAATGTCGAATCGATATTAAAATATAGATTTCTATTGTCACAGAAAATAATATAAATGATCATGTAAGGCGAATAGCACATTCAACACATCGATAAGACGGTTTTTTAATATCTATAAAATATAGTGTTTTCTTAATGATAATTGTGTGTGAATTTAAGTGAATTTGTTTGATATATTTCGCTAACCTAATTTTGTCTGGTGTTTCAGAATGGGGTGGGAGATTGGCGTGTGGGTGATACGATCCACGGCCGAGGTGCATCTGGGTTCAACTGCAGACATGAGGACGCCATGTTAAGGTTTGTCGGGCGTAGTGGTACAACCGCGGTAATCGGAGCTTGGCCCTCGAGGGTGACGTTAAACGGTGGCTGCAGTGGTTTCGTTCTGTTCAGGTTAACATGGTAGGTGGTCACCAGCCGCAGTCGACGGGAGGCGCCAACTGCACGGGCACTATGATGAACATACTGAACATAGACGCCGAGAACCGGGTGGTGCTGAACGTCGGCGGCATCAGGCACGAGACCTACAAGGCCACCCTGAAGAAAATACCCGCCACGAGATTGAGTCGGCTGACCGAGGCGTTGGCCAACTATGACCCGGTGCTAAACGAATACTTCTTCGACAGACATCCCGGCGTGTTTGCTCAGGTCCTCAACTATTACAGGTGAGTGATATATACTATAATATAAAACTACAATAATGACCGCAGGACCTCCACTATATTCCCTGGAAATCGTGAAGTAAAACGTTCGTGCTTTTTAATTGGTATATTATTATTATAATATACGTGATAATATTTTAATGAAATATTAACTATTTAGTAATACTTAAAAAGTACATACTACATAGGTAGTTAAAAGTATCGTAATATGAATTTATACATATTATTCAGAATTAAAACATTGACACTAGATATTATGTTTAGGCGTTATAGATACATATGTCTGAAAAGTTATTAAATCAAAAAATAATTATTATTGGTTTAATTGTATTTTAAATCGTTGTACACAATATGACAGTAGTGTGTACAGCTTGAAAAAATGTAAAAACATAACTTGATTTTGATTACAACCACGATTATACAAAATTAATATTATAGGCTTGATATACAAATCTATAAACGTCATTTTTATGGAGTATTATAGTTAGTTAACTGGCATTTGGCAAAAGCCAAGTTATTCACATTGTCACTTGAAATAGTTAAGTTATTAACTTGGTTAAAAAAAGTAACCTTCTATATGAGTTCTATTCAACTCGATATTCGTAAAAATATACTATATATTCGTTATAGGTTAAAAACGTGTCCAGATTCTTATATAATATGACAGGCGATAATGTAATATATATACTGGTACCGAAATATTCACGGTCTATATTTTAAGCTGTGGATCAATACTATTTATAGCTACTCGAAGATTATATTACTTTATTGCAGATTTCAATATACATGAATATTAGATTTATGGAATTTACATTTAAAAAATATATACTATTGTGGTCTGCGTGTATAATATTATTATATGTAATCAGCTTAAACCAAAGCATGGTGATTCCGTTCGCAGCATTAACTCCCGATCGGATTTAAAAGTATGAAAAAAAAAAACAATAATAACGTTGAATAATGTATAATACAGTAGGTATAGAAATTCACAATATAAATACATTTAAATTACACATATAATATACATAGTACTATTATAATATCATATAAAGTGTTTATATATATATATATGTGTGTGTGGGTGCTTGTGTGTTTTACCCCATATTAATGCATCCGAATATCGACTCGTGCGATTTGTTGGTTTAATGAAATTAACCACCACAATAATATTATTATATTGTTACGGTTACCCACAAGTGTGTATAGGTTTTTTGGTTAGAAACAACAGCTATATATTTTAGTTACCGGTAGTCTTTGACCAAAGTAAATCGTGGTTGTGTGTAATGTGCATTGTATACAATGAACACTATAAACGTAACTCTTTTTAAAATTAATGATAATTTTTTTTTTTTTATTTAAATTCTATAGAAATAAACAATGCATATGTATTGTAGAGTAAAAGTCGGTTTCTAAATTAAAAAAAACAAAAAATACTCATAAATAAGTGACATTTAACAAATTATTATTATAATGTACAATTTGTGTATGAAATATTTTTAATTTTTAATCGAACATATTTTTTTGCAAGTAACATGGCAATGGTTTTTTATTTTAACTCTATGAATATAATATCACATGTAGGTATAATATTATAATATATATTGCTCACATAGTGTGTCTTATATTATATTATGTATAGTTGCGTTTTGAGAAGTTTGTTTTCTTATTTTATTTCTTATTTTTTGTCAGACAGTGAGCTGTCGGAATATTCCTTTATACTCATCCATCTTCCATAAAACTCTCACAACTCACTAAATGCCTACTTTATGTCAATCATTGGTGTTATAACTTGGTTTGGTTTAAATTGTCTTTCTGCAGTCATAATAACAATAATAATAATAATAATATTAAAATTACTTTTCAGGGTTAATATAAAAAAAAAACCAATAGGTTTTCCAGGTAGAAATCTAACGAGACAGGTTTAATTTATGATTCGTACACAACTGCTTACACAAACAAACTGACAAACCCACAAGCCACAACACGAATTAAATCGAGCTTTTAACTTCTTTCTCATATCGTTTTTCTTTAATATTTCCGATGAGTATATTTTATTATTATACCATTAAATAATGTGTTTTATTGCTGTTTGACACCATTGCGCCTCGTCTCTTACTCCTACTCTTATCCGTCCGGCTATGGCGTGATGTGGCGTAGTTATTTTTCGTTTTTATCTTGTTACAGCACTGCTGTAGCTCGTGTAAAACAATAATAATGATAGAAATAATGTACCGACAGCGAGCTCAAATCGTGGATATGAGTTATACCCTCTCCGTCAGAATTGTAGAAATATAGAGAAATACGGGATGATTGTTTTAAAACATTTTTAGAATTTATAGCTACTATTTAACATTTTATAACGATTATCAGGGTAGGATTTGAACTCGATTATACTTGTGTTTGATAGGTTATATTTTATAAACTAATTTCATAACTTATATTAACGGATGAAAAATCAAAAGTATTTAGAACATATATTATGTTTGCATAATCGGAGTTTTTTTAATATTTGAATGACATATATTCTGTTTTTAGGGTTCATTAGTACTTATTTTATGGTTAGTAAAATGTTTAGTAGTAGTATAAAATTTAAAACTTTATGTATTAAAAATAAATGCATTTATTAGTGATATGAAGTCATTTTAAGTGCCTATATTTATAAACCATGTTACGTTATATAGTATACTGACTTTGATCTTACATTTGATAAAAAAAAAAAAAAAATGAATTACTTGTATTTTCTAAGATATATTGCTCGTTTAACGATGAAAATATAATCATATACTGTATATAAGTAAAAATATTAATGGCCAAGTCCCTCTCCGCTGTATCAGAAGTAAAACTCCAGGGAGAACTGCAGTAAAGAATAATATCGTGGAATATCGTCATATCATCATATCGTAAGTGTCAAGCGCGTAAAAAGAGCCACATTTTTATGCCTACGCGTGAAAACGGCGGTTTTGGTATTTTCGTTTTTATTTCATTTCCGCTCCGTAGTAGGTACCTATGTATGTTATTAGGGACATTATGGTTAGATTAGGTTGGTGCCGAGGTTATCATTTCAATGTATTATTATTATTTTCGTTTACCAAACTGGTGGGAGGTATAACGCAGATTTTCGCGTGACCGATAAAAACCAACACCGGCTCGAAAATGACGATAAATCGTCGAGATATTACTGTCGTTTCTGAACCGATGTAGATAATAATTTTTCTACTCGTTGGGAACTGACGACTGCTGCAGTCTATGCTGTACGCAATATTGATCCACCGTCTTTGCGCTTTTTGAAGAATCTATAGACTTAACTTGTGAACGCGCAAATGAACGTTAAAGAGATTTATTTAACAACTGTTTCAGTGAATATTTTTCAAAAAGGTAAAATTATTCACTGAACGGTTTTACTAAATCGAAATTAGATAAACATTTGTATGTCACGATACGTTGCTGAAAGATTTTTAATGTTTAGAATGCATAATATATCTAAACAAGAAATGCTTTCGTCGATCATTTAAGTACATATTCTATTTTTAGTTAAAAATAAATTCTTGAGTAAACAAAATTATCTCGAACATTGAATGTTGTCCAAACGTCCGTATAATCTATACAATTTAGAAAAAAAAACGTTATTTTTTTTAAGTATTGATCTATGTATACCAACGTAATTAATTACTCAGTACATTTTATCGGTGTTACAAGACCTGATTGCTACCGATGGGTGTTATTAAAATGTTGTTATTTTTTTAGTGGCTTTTCGTAAAATAATATAGTTCAAAAATAATTAACGGTTAATATATAATAATTCTAATGGAGAAATAGTAGACTTAATTTAAATTATATCAATATTTTTTAATCATGTCTGAAGCAAAAATTCAGTTTTTAAATATTATTGCTAATATTGCTTTATTTTATTTTATTCAGCTCATTTGTTTTTCGTTTTCATTAAATTAACATACCAAATTATGTTTTTGCAAAGTTCTAAGCTTACAATAATTATAAATACCCAATCATAAATAAACAAAGAAATATCTTCTTTGTTAGTTGTCTGGTTGGACTTCTAGGAAGACTTCTATTAATTAGCATACCAAATGTTTTCGCAAAGTTCTAAACTTACAATAAACATAAATACCTAATCATAAATATACAAAAAAATATCTTCTTTGTTAGTTGTCTGGTTGTGGGCGTGGTTTTAGCCTAGGTTGATGTTTTTTCGCCGAACTTGTAATGGAGAGTTCCTTTGGCTTTATTTAGGTTAATGTTGAAGTTTTTGTATTGGTTAATTATCTATGTTGGTAGGGAAAAGCCGTGTCGTGAGCTATTGTTTGTTTTATATTAACTAAGATACTTTGAGTGCTATTCATAGGAATTTATTTTGGAGAAATTGCAATTTTATTTCGAGGGGAAAGCGACAGCCTATATTCTGGGCATGTGTAAGATAATAGCAGTCTTGTAATTGTATATTTGAATAGACAGCATTTAATTTGAATGGTTGAAGTGTAGTTTAATAGGGTATACCTATAGGATTTGTATCTTTCTGTATCGTTGAAGGTTTAGTTTTTTTATTGATATCGTCACAACTTAAATGTGCATATACATGATGTCCCGTTATGTTTCAGCTTAATATCTTTATTGCTTTATGTATTATTGATCTTTGTGAAAACTGTCACATGGTATGGCGGCGATATATTATATTATATCATCGCCATATCATGTGACTTTATTGCATACCATATTATGATTTTTATAAAGCGAGATATTATTTTATATGAACTGTTTTGTAGGGTAGTTCTTTTATTATATAACACATTTTAAGTGTATACATATATTGGTACCAACGACCCGAGTTTAATATAATAATATCACCAATCCCTTCACCTCATCTCGTCATCAAAAATGGGCTTAATATTCTGGTCGTCGTGGTCATTATCATTGGGGGAAAATGAGCATTTGCAGATGATGACGATTGTTTTCACCTCACAAACTCTTCCGATATATTATATATATAT